AAAACCAGGGTTGTCATAATAAATAGATAAATAGGTAATTTGTTTTAGAGTTTTATAGAGACTCTTTAAATATATTTTTGTCTAATTCGATAGAGTTTTATTGAAAAAAAAGTAGGTAATTTATGGTAGAGTTCTATAGAAATTATTTTATTTTTTAAAAATATATCCTTATCTAATTAGATTTCCTTTTATTAAAAACTCATAATAAAAGTTAATTTGTGATAGAGTTTTAGAAAAATTATTTTATTTTATATATCAATTAATAAATATTTTTTATATTAATAATTCTTGTCTAATTAGATTTTCTTTTATTAAAAAACTCAAAATAATAAATCGGTAATATGTTTTAGAGTTTTATAGAAACTTTTTAAATATATCCTTGTTTAATGTGATAGTGTTTTATTGAAAATAAAATGGGTAATTTGTGGTAGAGTTTTAAAGAAATTAATTTATTTTCTTTAAATACATCCTTGTCTAATTAGATTTCTTTTTATTAAAAAAACTCATAATAAAAGAAAATTTGTGTTAGAGTTTTAGAGAAATTATTTTATTTTCTCTATCAATTAATAAATAGTTTTTATATTAATAATTCTTGTCTAATTAGATTTTATTTTATTAAAAAACTCATAATAAATAAATAAATAGGTAATTTGTGTTAAAGTTTTATAGAAACTATTTAAATATATCATTGTCTAATGTGATAGAGTTTTATATAAATTATTTTATTTTCTTTAAATATATCCTTATCTAATTAGATTTCCTTTATTACAAAACTTATAATAAAAGGTAATTTGTGGTAGAGTTTTAAAGAAATTATTTTATTTTAATTGGTAACTTATAGGACTTATTTTAATTGATTTTAATTGGTACTTTATTTAATGATATCTATAAATGATTTGAAAGATTGAATTTCAATAAAACAATTACCTATTTAATTTTAATTGGTAATTTAGCATAATATGATTTATTTTAATTGATAACTTATAGTAATTATTTTATTTGGTAACTTATTTTATTATTTGGTACTTGTGTGTGTATGTCAAAACCAGAAGGATGGTGATAAAAAAAATACTAACTGTGTCCCTCGGTTTTGTTTGTTTTAAGTTACAGTGAATTTTAAGAGAAGGTAAGTTCCCACTACACCATATATTTTATTATTATTATTAATATTACCGAAGGATAAATTGAAAATCAGTGTTCACAGCGAGCAAGATGGATTCAAAGAACCCTTTTCTTCTACCTCCTTAGGCTTTGGAAGTTACTAAATTCTAAACTTGAAATTTAGACTGCCCAAAATGTGACAACAATTTCATAAATAGTGGACTTTTCTTTTGGATATCCCATATTTGGATGTGTTTCAACATTGGACAGTTAACCCTACCCTGTATCAAGCAAGACCAGTTTGCTTAAATCCGCTGAAAAATGTTTCAGATGCCTTTAAATCCATACTCAATTTAGCAGATATCTTGGTCAAAACTAATTATTTTGGTGTATGCTACCTTCCTAAATCTGTCTAAAAGAACTCGCATTGATACCACCATTCACAGATTGCTAGCCTTTAAAAAAAGGTACGATTTTAGAAGTACTTGTTGTTCCACAATTTGTGGAAGAACTACACGACTTTGGATGCTTGTTTCTCTTCTTCTTCAAGGCTGAATTTCTGTCCCCTTCCTCCTTCCTCCATACTTCTATCTTCTCAATTTTTGTACCTTTTCTCCTTCCTCTATGCCTCTATTCATAGGTTTCTTGGATTAATAGGATGATAACATGTGTCTCTCCTAATAAAGACAAAATCATCGCCGGGCCGAATGAATGTCATTATCTTTTATTTGATCATATGGACTAATTAAATAATAAATAAATATTAAAATACTGAAACTCTTTACATATAGATGTAGATATAGATTTTGTGTTACAGTTTTATATAAACTCTTTTAATAATAGTATAAATTTATAAGGTAATTTTTAATTTGAATTTATAAAAACTCTTTTAATAATAATATAGATTTATTAGGTAATTTGTAATTTAAATTGTATTAAGTAATTTTTAGAGTTTTATATCAATTAATAAATATTTTTTGATTTATTAGGTGATTTGTAATTCAAATTTTATTAAATAATTTTTAGAGTTTTATATAGATTAATAAATATTTTTTATATTAATAAATAAATATTGAAACATTCAAACACTTCACAAATTTAATAATAGTATTGACATATAGTTTGTCCTTCCTAATTCCGTGATACAATTAGCCTCCTTCCCGTGCTAGTTTCCGTCCCTCCTCCCCATTATCGATCAACTTCTTGCCAATATCTTAGCATTCTCTTCATTCTTCAAACACAACCAATCCAGTTCTATCTTCGATCTCCCACAGAGAAACCATATATATTAGATAAATATGGAATTTGGAGAAGTTGATGACTGTAAATTTGTACATTACTCAACTTGAGGACAAAGAATTTAAATAAAAATAAAAATTGAGATTGTGGATCATGAATTGAAGGTGCATCCATTTTCAGTCCACCAATCCCCGTACAGAATGTGAGAGCAGCAACCCTTTTCTGCATATTTGATCGTGTGGCTAAGAGCAGAACTCATTATTTATCTGAAGTGAAGTACTCGGGCTTAATTGGGTGTATATCTATCGATCGGGTAAGCCTCCCTCACTTTCTTTTTCTTCAACAAATTATGGAATGCTTCAGTATTTTGTTAATTGTTAACTTGTGTTTTCATTTGTATTTGCTCAGTATGGTGTAGCCATGATTGTACAGACTTCTTTACATTCATAATTCTCTTATACTTACCTTATCAATATGAAAAAAAAGAAAAAAAAAAAAGGGCTCAACTGTTTCATTTAGTGATTGTCCTCTTCTTTTATGCAGTAAATAGCTGATTAGCATTGTGTGTATATATTGAATCCTTTAAGGAGAACGCATGAGAGCTAGAGAGAGAAGAATAATGGAGTTGGAGAGTGAGAGGTAACAGTGAGTGTCTTAATTAATTAGAGCCATGGCTCAGGTATGTGGGAACCTCTTCTTCAACAAAAATGAAGGCATTTATAGGAAAAATGTGATAGGGTGCTTTCTCATAGGTCCTTGTGACACACAGCTAGCACGGCAGTTCAAAGTTGTTGAAATAGACGCCATCACAATATAACGGAATCGATTATCGAAATTGTGAATTTTTTTTTTCTTTCCGAACTTGCACATAAAACCCAAATGCATCGATGCACAATTTTTGACATTCTTAATTAATAACTAAGAGTGATTTCTTGGTATTGTTGACCCTAAAATCGGCCGAGTAAGCCAATTCAGAAATTTGGTAATGTGGGCGTGCTAGAACTAGTAATGTGGTTCAAATCTGTGTAGTCAACTGTAATCTCTATAAGAAATTGACTCTCAGGTGATTATTGGAGAAAGAGAACATAAACTCCTCCGTGAGTTCAATTTGCCTTAGTTAAAAGGAATTTAACAATTTGAATGAATAGTAATAATTGTGAGAATAAATTAGGGGTGAGGGAAGTAGATATAGATAGAGAGGAGAAGAGAATAGATAGACAGAGAGATAGAGGAAAGAAAGAGACAAGAGAATAGGATGAGGAAAGAATGAGAATAGCGAGATTGATATATAAAGAAAGTAGAATTAGAGAAGAAGAGCTTGAGAAAGCAAAAATATAATAAACTGTGATTCTGAGAGTGTTGGACCTCTTACAACGAATACTTTACACTTATTTATAAAAGAACATAACCAAAACAACTCCTATACTTAAGCACTCTAATTATGTTATTACTCTGTAACATAACCAACTACCTTTTCAAATTAATTAAGTCACCTCAAAGATAACCATTAGCATTATAATCCCTATCTATAGTTTAATTTGAATATTTATATCCATGTCAACGTTGCATGTAGCTTCCATAATTTATTCTATGTGTCCATTTTATCACCTTGCCCACGTGTCACATCATCACCAAAGTGGCTGCCACATCATCAACATAAGATTTTGCCAAAATGGGTGTCAACAATGCCCTCCAATTTTAAATGTCTTATCGGCCATTGGCCGATTAGATATTTGAAATTTAAATTAGCACCACTTCAGTTTACTCACTCCCACACTATACAGTTGCCAGAAATTTCCATTATAGCTCCAGTTTCCAAAACCAAAACTAACTGCCTCCAACCCATTATTCGCAAGATAACATAACAAAAGATTTAAAAAAAAAAAAAAAAAAAAAAAAAAAAAAAAAAAAAAAACAAAATAGATAATTAACCAAACCTATAAGCTTATACTAAAATCACCAAAATCACCAGATCATTTCATTCCAACACTTGATAGTAAAAATACTAAAAAAGAAACCACCCCAACCTCCAAACCATATCTTCTTCAGCAAAGGACTTAAATTTCATCTTATTATAAAAATCTCTCACCACTTTCTTCTTGTGAATCATGAGATGGTCAAATGTAGCTTACTGTATTTCACCTAAGTATTCTATCTCGGCAAGCATGACCTCACTATAACCGACAGGAGTTAGATATTGTGATAACCCAAATTTTTTTAAGATTTTAATTTACTTATATTCCATGATTTTTAATTATTAAGATTGAATATTTAATTGGATAATTACTTATTGAGAGATTTAAATTAGCCTTAATTGATTTTGTTACATTATATATATATATATATATAATGTATGCTTGGTGGGAACTATCTGCCGAAATGAGTAGAAGAAAGAGAGCAGGTCAGCCGAATAGAAAAGGAGAGAGAAAAAGTTGATATGGTTGCGGGTCCCATTGAAAATGATTAATGAGTTTTATTTAGATTTGTTACTTATTTATATATACATATATATATATATATATATATATATATATATATATTGGTCTGATGAAGAAAAGAAGCTTATTGGGTGGCTGAAATTGAAAAAAAAAGAAGAAAGGAAAAGTTGGTGTGAAGTGGGGCGGGACCCACTAAGATTTGTTTGGCATTTGTTTGGCCAATTTTTACTTGGCTTTGCTTTGTTTCACGTGGGCCGAATTAGTGTCATTGTTAAGTTATGTCAGATAGAGATTTGAATTTAAAGAAAAGTAAAGATAAGGTAATAATGTGATAGGACCCACTAGTTGATAATTGAAGTAATGTTTTTGGTTTTGTGCTTTATGCACGTGGGTTTGTTGGTTGATTTTGTGTGAGGTCAGTGGTTGCCTTGTCTGTATATTAAGCGTTTGGGACTTTGTAAGAGAGCAAAGAAGATAGGAAAAAAAAAAAAATTAGAGAGAGGCAGTGAGAGACAAGAGTTAGACAGACAGAAAGAGTGAGCCGAGAATGATGGCTAGTAGAGAGATAGAGAGTTTAAGGAAAGACAGAGAGATCTGATAGTCTGCAGAGGAGGTCGGAGGTTTTGATTATCCACGGAGGAAAATTCCCTTTCAGGTAGGGGTCTTTAATCCACACAATCTTGCATCTTTGTGAGTTAATTTTACTTAATTAGTATCCTAGCATGCTAATTTGTGCTGATTTCACACTAAAGTGATTTAATTGTGTATACGAAGTATATAATTTTGTGTGTAGTTGATATTGTGCAAATTAATACGCTTAATTTGAATTAATTGCCTTGAAAATGATTTTATTGTTGTGGATGAAATCTATGATTATGTGTATTAATTAAATTATATGGAAAGCATGTCTAAATGTAAACTTCCATGCCATGATGTTTAAGATCTTGCTAGAAATTGCTATGTGGAAGCATGTTAAATTGTGTAGTGGAAATTCATTTATTTTCATGGTAATGTCAAAGTATGTGACAATCATAGCATTGGGCATGGAAAAAGGGCAAAATGATTTTAAATGAATGAAAAATGGATTTTTAGGACAAAGTTTTGATTAAAATGATTTTTATGAAAACCCGGTCGCCATGGAGTCACCAAAGGGCCGTGGTGTTAATATAACCTAGAGGGAACTAGGGAAACACCCTAGCATGGTTGAGTTATCTGGGCCCAAATGACGCCGTGAGGGTACCAAGGGTTAGGGACAATAGCCAATCTTTCTCTCATGTCGCTGCGGAGTCACCAATGGACGGGTTATATTAACAGTTTGAAAAGTGATGGATTTGGATTTTTGAAATGGGGAGTGACATACATGGCACTACATTCATGGCACGACATTTGCTTGTTTTGAACTTGGAATTGATAGTGTATTTTCTCCGGTTTAGCATGACCCCACTCCCTATTGTTCTATTCATTGTTTGGATTCACGGGGTTGCAAGAGGTGTGTCTTAGGTACCATCTGCTGAGCTTTATGCTCACCTTATCATTTAATATTTTTCAGGATACGGATGGCAAGTGGCGAACGACGCTCCTCCATAGGGTTCGATGGGCTAATAGACGGTTTTGACATACTTTATAGCTATAATTTCATTTTGTTATTATTTATTTATTTATTTATTATTACTTATTTTTTTTATATAAACCCGGAATGACACGTATAATATGTACTGACATAAGAAAGGACGGTTGTATCCTTAGTTAACCTCGGGTTCGGGTAAGGACCCTATTAGCGATTCGAATCCTCAGGTTCGGATCGTTACAAATTTGGTATTGGAGCAATAGTTCGAATACCATTAGGATGACGGGTAGAGGCCTACCTAAGGTTGTGTGGGATGTTGTTTGCATTGCTTATCTGGTTATTTGCTAAGTGTTTTGCTATTTGAGAAGCATGCCTACTTGTTTACTTGCTTACCTGATCACGTGCTTGTATGTTTACAATTTTGAAGGCATGTCTATTTGCGAAGTGCTTATGCGTTTAAATGCTAAAATTTGTGTTACATGGCCGTGCATGTGAAGTAGTTATATGATCCAACTACGAAAATGAAATGGGAATATATTTGAACGTACGTTATGCGTGATAATGTGACAAGTAGTGAGCATGGTAGGTGCAAGCATATCTCGTTTGGTATTGCGATGGCTATTAGGCATGGTTATGTAAGTATTTTTGTTTAAATGAAAGACGGGGTGTTTTAATATATATATATATATATATATATATATATATATATATAAAATAAATAAATAAATTTAAATGATGGGACATGATTATATATGTATACATGTATAGGAGTATGCGGTTGAGCATGGATGGTTGCGTGAGTTTTGACTCGAGAAGGCGAGGAACTCAGTTGCTCCATGGTTGTTGGGTGCCGGTTCTTATCGAACGAATGGCTTAGTCTTCTAGTTCATGGATTGAGCTATCTAGTGTAGGGTCCTTCTGATTTTCTTATTGCATTTGTGCGGTGCTTAGAGCACGACTTTAGAATGGGTTCGTATTTCATAGCACGGTGGCTAAGTTGTGTGTGAGTTTCATACATCGGTATATGGGTTCTTGTGATCGTGGAGGTCAGGTGTGCGAGTGAGGGTTTTGTGGGAAAGGTATGACCTTAGGAAGTTGGTGTTTGTGACATGAGTTATGGTTTGGTACGGTAGTTCTTTTCAAATCGATTTGTGATGGGTGTGATAAAGGTTGCTAGAATTTCGGGGTATTCTAGTACGGTCTATAGAGTTCTGATCGTTGAGGGGTTTTGTTGGACTCTATAAGTCTAGGATGGCGTAGGCAGTGACTGGAGCCATGCCAGTGTTAGGTGATTGCATGTTTGATATGATTTAATTCGTGGGTGTAAGAGTTTGTTCTAGAGACTGGTTTATCGAGGGGTGATCCTCATTTTGGATGGCTATAGGAGCGTGTTGTGGGTAATTGAGTCTCGATGAGTTGATTGCATATCTCGGTCGATGAGTGGGATTTTGGGTTGGCACGGCTGTTTAGAAGGTCTCGAGGTAAGGTATAGTGGTCAGTTTTGGCTGTGTAGTGCAGGGTTGCACGAAAAGGCAGGTAGTGTGAGGTTATTGAGGTGCTTAGTTGATTACAGATGAAGTAAGATATGGTAGGTACTGTGTTACCGTGTGCGTTGTGTTTTAGAATTTGATAGTTATGGATTAAAGTCATATTTTAGATTGCATCTGGAATATCAAGAGATATTGCTTTTTGTTTTAGGATCCGAAGAGATAGACTAATGATTAGAGTGATTGGGATGAAATTGATCTTGTAGGTTAGTTGGTAGCCCCATTTGATTTTTGTCGAGGCCAAGGATGTTTTAAGGAACGGGAATGAGGACAATAACTATTTTGAACTTAGGGTATAAAGTTTTCTTGTTTAGATGCACAGATTGCTTAGAAAGAGTGGTTTGATGTTGTCGGTTAAGCATTAATGATTGATTGCATAGTTGATGGTTTTGAGGTGACATTGGGTGTTGAGCATTTTGGGTTTTTGCTTATTTTCCTTGGGGATTTATCTGTATGGCATCACTATATGGAGGTTCTTTTCTAGTGTCAAGTAGTGGTCATTGTGGGGAGTATCGAGAGTAATGGTGCTTATTTTCTTGTTATAGTGATGTTGTTTTAAGGATGTTTAAGGAAGAATTGCTTAGGTATGGCTTGATGGTCTGGTGGGGTGATAGGTTTGAATTGTTGTTCCGAATCTGTGGTAATAGAAACATTATGGTGTGATGTTTAGCATTGATGAGTATAATGGTTTTAGGTATAATCCGAGGATGGATTAAAATTATGAGTGTTGTTGTATGTTATCAATTAGGTGATGGGATTGTGCTCCAGTTGAGACGATTGTGGACAACTTAGTCTTTAGAGCTAGTGAGAGCGGTGTTGCCGGATAAACACCTTTTTTCTTTTAAGGAGTCAGTGGACTATTGTGACTGAGGTTACGAGTCTTATGTGCATGGTGTTTGAGGTAGTGTCGTTTTGAAGAATGAAGGTGGAATAGGTGGTAAAGTGTCATTTTACGATTTAGGGGTTGTCATTTGGGTATGACGGTTTCCAAATGGGATAGGATTCGGTGTCCGAAGGGCTATGTTTGATTCTAAAGATCAAGTGTCGTGAGCATTAGTACTCTTCTCTGGTTAGTTTTGGTTAGTATAAGTATCGCGGTGTAACGTATGCGAGCTTTCATGTTAGTGTTTGACGGTCCGTCAGTTGCGAGGTTGCCTAGAATTATGTTCGTAGTCTCGTATGTGTTTCTAGCTGGTCTCCCTCCTTATGTGTAAGGAGTTCATTTCATCTCAGGTGAGATTAGGTGTCCACAGTTGGACGATTGGTGAGTAACATGTTACAAAATGTCAGCTTCATCCAGGTGTGAGTCATTAGACTCTTGTGAGAGTAGGGTTTGTTACCTTCCGTTTGTTCTAGTCCCAGCAAGAATGTCTTTTGTCATGAGTCTTGTTCTCCATTTACGAGTTGTGCGCGTCCATGGATGGACGGACCTACATGTGATTTGTTATGCTGTTATAGTTCACCGATAAAGGTTTGGTTGAATGGGTTGACTCACTCCTATGGAGGGAGGTGGCGTCTTTGGTTTTGTAGTGCTTGTTCTGAGAGTGGTCTTGACCGGTAGTGTGTGAGGCACGAGTTGCCGAATAAAGATTGTGTGTTTTTAGTGCCTTGTATGAGTGGTGATGGCTAGGGGTGTGTCTTGAACTGTAAGTTTAAGGATGATTAGGTGATGTGATATAAGTCATGTACTTGGGTGTTTTTCTGGACATTTGATTCGAGCAGTGTCTTGAGGTTTTAGGCATGAGATGGTCTTATTGTGTGTTTTGATGAGGTAAGAATTGAATCGAGTAATGTTATGAGCTGTTTACCTGGCGTGGATGTTATGAAGAAATTAGAGATCTTTAGTGAAGGTTAATAATTGTGACGTTTGGTGCTGTGTTATTTTTGGCTTGTTACAAGTTGCATGATTAAGGAGTTATTGAGATTTTTAGAGCTGGTGTGTGACTGTATAGTTGTTGAGGTTATGTGGAACGATGGATGGATAGTGAGTGGATCTCTTAGTTGTTTTATGCACTATGTGAGACTGTGTTTGAGGTTTAGACCTGAGGACAGGAACGCCGTCTATGCTAAGATTGGATCGAGAATGAGAAAGGCCTAGCCAACCATTTCTCTTGAATCAGTCCTTCTCTACCATGATGTCGGGTCTAAGGTCAATGAATGTTTCTTTTTGTCAGGGATAACGAGAGCATGGTACTATGCGTCGTGTCGGTGTAACAGTGTAGGTTCAAATGGTTTGTCTCGGGCGACGAAGTGAGTTATGTAGGACCATGTGTCCGATAAAGGGTTTGCGATATGACCATTGATTATTGAAATTCTTCTTATGGTTTTTCCCACTGGGATGGTTAGTGTGGTTAGGCAAGTAGCCCGGGTTTGTTGTTTTTTTTAGTGGGCGGGTGACTAACACTTGCAGCTACCACAACGTCTTACATATCACGGTATCTCACATCGTTTGGGGTAAGGATTTGGATTTTGTTTTGTGGTTATTGGTGTTTTCGAGTATACGAAGACTGTTGGATCTGAATTTCGGGGACGAAATTCTTTTTAAGTGGTGGAGATTGTGATAACCCGAATTTTTTAAAGATTTTAATTTACTTATATTCCATGATTTTTAATTGTTAAGATTGAATATTTAATTGGAGAATTACTTATTGAGAGATTTAAATTAGCCTTATTTGATTTTGTTACATTATATATATATATATATATATATATATATATATATATATATATATATATATATATATATAATGTATGCTTGGTGGGAGCTACCTGCCGAAATGAGTAGAAGGAAAGAGAGCAGGTCAGCCGAATAAAAAAGGAGAGAGAAAAGTTGATATGGTTGCGGGTCCCATTGAAAATATAATCATTTTCTATATCAACTTTTTCTCTCTCCTTTTTCTATTCGGCTGACCTGCTCTCTTTTCTTCTACTCATTTCGGCAGGTAGCTCCCACCAAGCATACATATATATATACATATATATATTGGTCTGATGAAGAAAAGAAGCTTATTGGATGGCTGAAATTGAAAAGAAAAGAAGAAAGGAAAAGTTGGTGTGAAGTGGGGCGGGACCCACTAGGATTTGTTTGGGATTTGTTTGGCCAATTTTTACTTGGCTTTGCTTTCTTTCACGTGGGCTGAATTAGTGTCTTTGTTAAGTTATGTCAGATAGAGATTTGAATTTAAAGAAAAGTAAAGATAAGGTAATAATGTGATATGACTCACTAGTTGATAATTGGAGTAAAGTTTTTGGTTTTGTGCTTTATGCACGTGGGTTTGTTTGCTGATTTTGTGTGAGGTCAGTGGTTGCCTTGTCTATATATTAAGTGTTTGGGACTTTGTAAGAGAGCAAAGAAGATAGGAAAAAAAAAAAATTAGAGAGAGGCAGTAAGAGCCGAAAGTTAGAGAGACAGAAAGAGTGAGCCGAGAATGATGGCTAGTAGAGAGACAGAGAGTCTAAGGAAAGACAGAGAGGTCTGAGAGTCTGCAGAGGAGGCCGGAGCTTGAGGTTTTGATGATCCAGTGAGAAAAATTCCCTTTTAGGTAGGGGTCTTTAATCCACATAATCTTGCATCTTTGTGAGTTAATTTTACTTAATTAGTGTCCTAGCATGCTAATTTGTGCTGATTTCACACTAAAGTGATTTAATTGTGTATATGAAGTATATAATTTTGTGTGTAGTTGATATTGTGCAAATTAATAAGCTTAATTTGAATTGATTGCCTTGAAAATGATTTTATTGTTGTGGATGAAATATATGATTATGTGTATTAATTAAATTATATGGAAAGCATGTCTAAATGTAAACTTCCATGCCATGATGTTTAAGATCTTGCTAGAAATTGCTATGTGGAAGCATGTTAAATTGTGCAGTGGAAATTCATTTATTTTCATGGTAATGTCAAAGTATGTGGCAATCATAGCATTGGGCATGGAAAAAGGGCAAAATGATTTGAAATGAATGAAAAATGGATTTTTGGGACAAAGTTTTGATTAAAATGATTTTTATGAAAACCCGGTCGTCGTGGAGTCAGCAAAGGGCCATGGTGTTAATATAACATAGAGGTAACTAGGGAAACACCTTAGCGTGGTTGAGCTATCTTGGCCCCAAATGATGTCGCGGGGGTACCAAGGGTCAGGGACAGTAGCCAATCCTTCTCTCATGTCGCTGCGGAGTCACCAACGGACGGGTTATATAACCAGTTTGAAAGGCGATGGATTTAGATTTTTGAAATGGGGAGTGACATACATGGCATTGCATTCATGGCACGACATTAGCTTGTTTTGAACTTGGAATTGATAGTGTATTTTCTCCGATTTAGCATGACCCCGCTCCCTATTGTTCTATTCATTGTTTGGATTCACGGGGTCGTAAGAGGTGTGTCTTAGGTACTACCTACTAAGCTTTATGCTCACCCTATCATTTAATATTTTTCAGGATACAGATGGCAAGTGGCGGACGACGCTCCTTCATAGGGTTCGATGAGCTAGTAGACGATTTTGACATACTTTGTATCTATAATTTCATTTTTTTATTATTTATTTATTTATTTATTATTACTTATTTTTTATATATAAACCCGGAATGACACATATAATATGTACTGACATAAGAAACGACGGTAGTATCCTTAGTTAACCTCGGGTTGGGGTAAGAACCCGATTAGCGATTCGGATCATCGGGTTCGGGTCGTTACAGTTGTAGCCTTTGCCGATTTTATGTTCAGCTCCATCGATAGGACTACATCATGCCAAAAAGTCCATTGATCGACAAGCATAACCTCTAATCGGCAAGCTGAAGTGGAGCGTATGGATCAACTAACTTTTGTTGGGGGTTAGCGATCACATGCCTCCCGGTAGTCACTAGCCTAGTGTAGGTTGGTTATTTCTCCATTGATTCTAATTTCCTCTAGCTCTTGTTGTTCCCTCTGAGGCAAAATTAGCAATGCTTGCAAGCGTTGTTGATTCTAATTTTGTTGATGTAGTACTGGTGGTTGATATATTGGAATAGTCGGCATTAATGGTATTTCCGGTATTATCGGAGAATTGCCACTAGGTAAACTAGCAGTTACACTTGGCTAGATAGGACCTGCCATTGTTGTTTGTGGCCCTTGAGAAATGTTGGTCAACGGTAAAGAAATACGTTGAAAAATTAATTCATGAGATGCCGATTTTTTAACTTGATCATGACAACTTTAGGTAGCCTATATTTGAGCCATCATTGCTTTCATTTTCTAGTTCATTTCTCCCATTTGGGAAGATACTTTCTGATTTATTTCTTCCACTTGGGCTTGCATCATAATGCTAATTTCACTGGTTAGTACTACATGTCGGCCATCAAGTCTTCATATGATAGCCTCGAAGTACATCTGTGCTAAAGGAATATCGGATAGCATAGCTGATTCTGCCGCATTAGATCCTCTTGGGACAATCGGCTGATTTTTGTCTTCGACGTTATCATCTGTTGTGGCGACAACCTTCAAATTCTTTTGCCTTAGAGGCATAATTACTATAACTCAGTCACCTAGTGGGTTCCACCAGGCGTGCCAAGAATGTTGACCCTAAAATCGGCCAACTAAGCCGATTTAGAAATTTGGTAATGTGGGCATGCTAGAACCACGAATTTGGTAATGTGGGCATGCCAGAACCAGCAACGTGGTTCAAATGTGTGTAGTCAACTATAGTCTCTTTGAGAAATTGACTATTAGGCGATTATAGGAGAAAGAGAACATAAACTCCTCTATGAGTTCAATTTGCATTACTTAAAAGGACTTTAACAATGTGAATGAATAGTACTAATTGTGAGAATAGAATAAGGGTAAGGGAATTAAATATAGATAGAGAGGAGAAGAGAAGAGATAGATAGAGAGATAGAGGGAAGAAAGAGACAAGAGAATAAGATGAGGAAATAATGAGAATAGCCAGATTGCTATATAAAGAAAGTAAAATTCGAAAAAAAGAGCTTGAAAAAGTAAAAATATAATAAACTGTGATTCAGAGGGTGCTGAACCTCTAACAAAAAATACTTCTACACTTACTTATAAAAGAACATAACTAAAACAACTCTTATACTTAAGCACTTTAATTATATCATGACTCTATAACATAACCAACTACTTATTCAAATTAAACAACCTCAAAGATAACCATTAGCATTATAATTAATCCTTATCTATAGTTAAATTTGAATATTTCTATCCATGTCAACTTTGCATGTAGCTTCCATAATTTATTCCATGTGTCCATTATATCACCTTGCTCACGTGTCACATCATCAACACAAAATTTTTAAATTTTGCCAAAATAGGTGTCAACAGGTACAAAATTATAGAAGATACATTCCTTAAAGAACTTGAAAAAAATACTAAAGCCCCTTTACTTAGTTTAAGAATTACTTGAATGGATGAGGCTAAGAAGGGTTACATAAATCCTTTTTATTAATAACAAGAAGGGTATAATTTCTTTACAAATTTTAGAAACAAACATATCTCTAAATTTTCCTGTTCATTATCATAGAAACGTAAATAGCAAAGATTAAGATTAAATATTATAAATTAAAGTTGAAAAACTACAATCTAACAATAAAAAAAAGAAATAATAAATGTCTTGAATTTTGTTTCATGATACATCATATGATGAGCGCTGAAAAGTACACATTTAAACCCCTTAAGCTTGAGTATTCTAGGACCTTTATCTATCTTATTTACCCGTTTTAGTACTTATTTGTTTTTTTATCTATTTCAGGTCAATAATGTTAAAATGGGCTAAAAATGAGTTCTTAAGGCCTTTTTGGAGTCAAACTAAGTCTTAGCGATGATCCGGAGCAAAAAGAGGCTGATTTGGAGCAAAAAGAAGCTGATACTGAAAAGCTGAAAAGTTGGATGGATCGCAGAAAAAGTTGGATCGATCGAAAATAAGTTGGATCGATCGAACTTTTAGTTGGATCGATCAGAAAAGTTGGATCGATTGAAAAATAAGTTCGATCGATCGAAAAAGTTGGATCTATCGAACTGGACATGTTGGCAGCAAGCTGTCACTTTTTCCGTGCGCGCCCAAAAGTTCACCTACCAAAAAGTTGCGGGATTAGATATTTTTTGGCATATATTCTAGACTTAGTGACTAAGAAAAGGACCTTATATATAAAGGGAAGTGACCCATTTGTAAAGGGGGATTCTTTAGGCTTTTTATCATTTTATTTTCTACATTGTAATTTTTTTATTTCTCTCTCTAGAAAAGTTAGAGATTAGGGTTAGAAGAAAAGAGAGAAGTGGAGGCACATCTCAAGATCACATCTCTAAATCCACTATCTTTCCATCTCTAGAGCTTCAAAGAAGAAGAAGAAGAAGAGGAAGAAGAAGATGGAGCCATGTTTGGAGCTTGATTCCATGACTACATCCACCTCCTCCATGATTGACTAGATCTACACTTAGGGCTTGGATGAGCCCTAAGTCTTGTGTAATTTAAACCCTTGTATTTCTATTTTTGGGGATTTTTATATATATTGTTGTGATTAGTGTTCTAGCCTTGTGAATTTCATGAATCTTGATATATTTCTATGATTTTCATGGTCTAATTCTTCCTATTAATTCTCTAGTTTATTTACATGTCTATGTGTGATTAAATTAGGAATTATGTCTCACATGATTCATATGGGTTAATTCTTCCATTGATTTTCTATTTTAATTACATGTTGTCTTATGTGTGATTATTTGGGGAATTGATCTCTACACTAGTTTTTCTATATTAATTGCATGTCTATGTGTGGCTGATTGAGAATCTAGTGATGGCTAGACATTAGTGCTTAATGGAATGCTCTTGTTCTGTCTCTTGATGGTTCGTACTTATTTCTTGATGGATTGTACCTCTCCCTTAGTTTATTTGCATGCTAGTAGTGTGGTTGTAGTGTAGTGTTAGATGAGGGAGACAATTCATGCTTGTTCTTTGATGTTCCATGCTTTTGAATGCAAGAAGCATATGCTCGAATATTGTGGTGTAATGGAATTTTGAGCTTAATGAAGGATTAATGACTAGTTATGATATGTTGTATCTTTCACATGTGTTTAGACAATTTATTCATCTCCCAATAAATATATTGTGGCCTCTCACATGATGTTTAGACAATACATGTTTAACTAAGTCATCCTTGTGAATTATTTGGACTATGAGCTTAATGAAATGTTTAATGACTTGATTTGATATTTTATTCTCTTCACATGTTGTCTAGACAATATATTCCTCTTCCAACAGATATATTGTGGCCTTTCACATGTTGTTTAGACATTATACACTTATTGAGTCACCTTTGCTAGTCGAACCAATTGTGTTCACAACAATGTATTCCCCATTAATGGAAAGCAAGTGGTTAATTACATGAGCTTAGTGGTGATTCCAACACCCTAAGTCCTCTCTTCTTATCTCTTAAATCCCTATCTCTACTTAGTTTTATTTTTATTGCATTTTAATTAATTCTTTTCTAGAAGTAATCAACCAACCCAACTCTCTTTTGCAATCATTTGGTACGCTAGAGTCGAAGTTGAAATTCCAACACGTATAATCCCTTGGGACGATCCTTACTCACTCTTGCTACGTTAGTAGTGGTGTTGGTAGTGGTTTTTATAAATTTAAATTTGACATAAAAGACTTTTCTTGAACCACACATTCACTACATTTATTTTGGCGTATTGGAACGGCCGTCGTAAGATTTTGGCGCCGTTGCCGGGGATTAACGGTTTTGTTGGAATTAAAATAGACAATAGTGTTCATTAGATTGCTTCTATTTTTATTTTATTTTCCATTGTATATTCTTTTCTCTTGATTCTCATTATTATTTGTTCAATTAGGTACTTGACTACAAGGAAGGCGAACTTTGGAACTTAAAGCAATCATTGGAGCTTAAAAGCTAAATTTGGAGTTGAAGTGCTAAAGGACCGTTGTGAGCAATTCTTGGAACTCTTGTATTTTAATTGTTTCACTTCTTTGTATGCTTGTGATAGCCCTTGTTGAGGCTCATTTTATTGCTAAATTTTTGTCCAAGCATAAGCCCTTGTTGAGGCCCATTTTTTTTGCATTTGGGTTTTAATTGTGAATGGAGGAATTGTTTGATCCAAGTTTGGGGGGGAATTACATCCCTTCACCTTATGCTCCTCCATCATGTTTTAATCCTTATGAGATTGAGTCCAATTCATTTCATGCATCATCTTATTATGGACTTGATCACTTATTTAATCCTTCTTGTGACTATTACCCTCCCCCACCATTTTATGATGAATCAATTCCACCACCTTCTAAGTACTCACCCGGATTTGAAGAAAAAGTGTTAGCTATACTTGATGTGCATATTTCACACACTTCACTTATTAATTCTCATTCTCAAACTTTAGCCAACTTAGAAGCTCAAGTTGAGCAAATTGCAAGTACTCTTTCTCATCAAGAGGAGGAGGAAGAGGCAAATGAAAAAATGGCAAGAACTTCAATGTATATAGATGGGGATGATGAGAGTGAGGAGAATGAAACAAGTGAGCTAATGCCTAGCACTCTATCTTGTATAAAGAAGGAAGTGGCAAGTGAGTTAGTAGCTAATCCAATAGAACATAACATGATTAATGAGGACTTTCCTTGTTTTGATTATGATTTTATCTATGATATGGCTACTCTAGAGAGTGAGGAGATGTTGACCATACTTGAGGTAGGAGAGAAGGAGGAGGAACTTGTTGAAGAGGGCCTTCCTTCTATTATCTCTAATGACCCTCTTGAGGAGTGTCTTTTGGAAATGTATAAAAATTGTGGTTTTGACTTTAAAAGCTCTAAAAATGAAATAAACTCTCTAATGGACTCCTTAGCTTACTTAGAATGTGAGGAAATGGTAATTTATGAGGAGGAGAAGAGGGATGAAGAGAGGGTGTTTCTTATTAATCCAAATAAGTCTTTGAAAGACAATGCCTCACCGATTATCAAAGTGAATGATCATTTGAATGTGTTTCAAGAACACAACAAAGAGGCAAGCCTAACCATGATTGATTTTGTTTTCAAAACCGTGGATGAAAGGAACAATATCATCTCTTTTATTTCTTTTCAAGTCATTCTTTTGGAGGATGATTTTATTGTCATAAGTGGGACATTAAATGAGAAAAGTGAAAAGAGGGTCAATAAGGATGTTTCATATCCAGTTTTTGATTCATTTGATTAGTGAGTTGACCTAACGTCTTACTAGAGACGTTAAACACTAGTATTCGTAGAGTTTTACAACTCTATTTCTCCCTCATTTCTTTTTATTCTTGTGTACATTCTTCCATCTATTTTTCAAATTTTCATTCTTGTTACCATCATTGGGGCTTAGCATAGGATTTTCTGCACTTTCAGTTCAAAATTAAGCATTTGGTGCCAGTTCGATCGATCACAAGAGCACCTTCGATCGATCGAATTGTTCTTCGATCGATCCAACTATGGACTCGATCGATCCAGCTCTTATTTTGCACCCAACACTTAGAAAAATTTTGGACCTGCATCCAATTCCAAAATGCATGCTCTCGGGATCTCCAAAATTTTACATGTTCGATCGATCGAACTTCATCTTCGATCGATCACAACTTTGCCCCTTTTACCCTTTCACTTTTTGACTTTTTCCTATTTCTATTTTCATTTTATTTTATTTTTTTATTTTATTTTATTTCATTTAGTTATCTCTCTCTCTTGACTAAAAAAAAAAAAGAAGAAGTTTTTGGAAATTTGTTAAAAATACAAAAATATTTTTGTTAATTTTATTTTATTTTCAAAAATTCCAAAAAGATTTTTATTTTATTTTTATTTTTACTTTTATTTCCAAGCTTTATTTTTATTTTTATTTCAAATATTTAAAATTAAAAAAAAAAAATCAAATCCCAAAAACATTTTTCTTTTATTTTATTTTATTTCCTTTTATCTTATTTCCAAAAATCCAAAAATATTTTGTTTAACTTTAATTTTTAATTCTTCTAACTTATCAAAAAAAAAAAAAAAAAAAAATCTTTGCATTCCTTATTTTCCTACATTTTTATTTACTTGCCTTTTTATTTTTATTTGTGTACATATTTGTTTTGTCTAAAAAAATAAAAAATAAAAAAATGAGACGATTTTTTAAAGAAGTTTTCCGTCTTGCTAGAGACGTTAAACTTAGCACCTATTTTGCATATTTCTTACATTTTTCATTTTTCATTTTTCTTTGCATGTTTTCACATATATATTAAAAAAAAAAAAGATAATAATATATATAAAAAAAAAAAAAAAATGAAAAACAAAAAGTAAGAAAATTTTGTATATACTTGCATTGTACATATTCTTTCCATTTTTTTTGCATTGTACATGTCCCTTTTCATTTCTTGCATTGCACATATTGTTTTTCATTTCTTACATTGAACATATTCTTTCATTACATTTTGCCTTATTTAATTTTCTTTTTATATTTTGTTCATGCATTTTATTCTTTGTTTTTCTTGCATTTTGTATATACTTGCTTTCATTAAATGAAAAATATAAAAAGATTCATCATTGTGCCCTTATGTGTAGTCATGCATACTTTATGCTTTAGTTAGGGCTTGATCTTATATCTCTCTTGCATCATGTGTTACATTGCCTTAGAATGCTTGATTTGATTATTCTTATCCCATTTGATATTTGATGTGAGTTTGCTAGCGTGGTTATTCAAGTAGGTTGTTGATTCCAAGTTTGGGGGAGACGTCTTTCGAATTGGATCATGACCGGGCTTCATGTCTACACCACCACGGTATACTCTTTCCACTTTTTTTTTCCATTGTTCTCATTGCACATTGAGGACAATGTGCGGTTTAAGTTTGGGGGTAAGGTGTCTTGTTGCATTCTACTTAAGATTTGAGCTTTAAATGCATGATTGAGATTTAAGATTGATGTTAGCTATGATTTTGATCTTTTGAGGACTATATTGCTTAAAATTTAAAAATTGTTTGACTTAAGAGTCCAATACTCCTTGTATGCCTTGAGGATGCCATTTAGGAGTAAATTTTTCAAAAGATTGATATCTTGCTTGCATTTGTGGTCCACATCATCTTGAATTTGTGATTGTTTTGAGATTCATTCTAGGATTCTACACTAGCACCGGTGCACACTAGCATTCATTTGTGGGGTACATGCTTTGTTGATTATTGAATTGGTTATATCCCAATTGGGCTAGTAGTGCATTGAAAGCTTTCATTCTTGATAAAGGTGGATAACAACCCCTTTTCATTGAGTAGCCGGAATTCTTGCCTCATTAAGCAGTGAACTTCTCGCGCCGAAAGGTGGAGGGCCCAAACTCTAGGTTAATAATTGATTAAAAAAAAAAAAAAAAAAAAGAGAAAAAGTTGCAAAAGTAATAAAAATGAGGACTTCTCCCAAAAGGTGAGAAGTAGGAAATGATTAGATGGTTGTTGTCTTGATTTGTAGCCTAGTTGATTTGAGTTTGTAAGTCCGTTGGGGTATCTTAACACCTAATGCCCTAAAGCCTTCTGGTTTGGGAGTCATTGACCTAAAGC